GGCGGCGCGTAGGCTAGCTACGAGAGCAGCGCGCGCCGCGCGAAAGAGACAGCAGGGTCAACTTCTTAGGGTAGCAACCTGTAATGTGCGGACTTTGGCTGTAAACGGGTACCTACTTTGGCTAACGTGATAGTCACCCCGGTTCTTGCCTTGTTTCCCATAGAGTTGTCTTCTTGTTCCGGAGCGGTGTGGCCCTCCATCTCTGGGCTCTCTCCTTTCCTCTCTCTGGGAAATACCCCCACGGCGTGCGGTTACTCCGCCACCCTCACCGTGCTCTCTGCTGCTGCATAGTCCCGGTGTCCAAGCCGGGGCGTCATGATCCAGTCTCATTTTGCAGTGCATGACCCCATGATTGCTGCGACGCTGGACTGCTTGCGCGCAGGATAAGGATATACGAAAAGCACTTGACATACGTACTGGCGTAGCAGTGTAACAATTTGCTTTTTAGGCGTGGTCATCATTCGCTCAGGCTTGTGCAGGCTGCTGCTGTTTACCACTACCCGGGGCAAGACGGATTGCGTCCGCGCGGCGTTGAGCAGCCAGCGGATATAACGGCAGTATTGCTGTCCGTTGTCGCTGCAACACAGATGTGCAGGTCACTCACACGGACTGGGACAAGCCGTGTGGGAAATATCCACCCCTGCATGCTCGGATGTGCCGAAGGTATTCATACGCACGTTAATTTCCCCGCCCTCGTGTCGATTGGTCGTGAATCGCGTTCCAGGAAACTTACGAAACATGTTCCGCCGCTCGGTTCGCTTGGACGCGTCCTTGGCGACGATGGTCGCGGGGTCCCTGCTCCCGCATCTGACACGCGCCAAGTAGGTACCCGTTCGCCCTCGATGCCAGCGATAAGTGTATGTAGCTGTGAAAACTGGTGGACCTTGTGACTGGGTGGGCTGGTCCAAAACAAAGAACCGAACCGTACGTTCGGATGGTAGTCCACCCAGCTCTCTCGATATAGTTCTACAGAAAATTCGCAGAGACGTGTCCTCCCCGCAACGCAGTTCTTGTTCATGGGTCATCTGGACCTCGTTGTTACATATCACACTGTCCCCTTGTCACCTCCTCTCGTCTTCGCTCTTGAAGGGTGGATGTACCCTACAGCCTCTCACAATGCAGACGAAGCTATCACAACTGTGCTGCAGCTGTCGCTGCAGAAACAAGCCTGTTTGAACAAAGCTCGGGTGTTTTTTTTTTTCTTTTTCTTGTACGGAATTGTGAGCGTACCACGTCACCCAACTCGAAATCTCCCCACGGAAATCCAAACAACTCTGTGCCCTTCCGCCAAACGCACACGACATGTCCAGAACACCGGGCTTGGACATAAATGGGGGACTTCAACGCCTCCCTCCCAGCTCCCGACCGGATATTATGAGCAGTACATGACGCCTCACGCCAAGTTCCCGTCGAGCAGCGCCGTAGTCGCCACGGAAATGTTCTCGTTCCGCTTGAAGGGGGGCTATTCTTCTAAGAGCCGACGTTCTTTTTCTGGTGGTGGTAGTGGTGGTGGTGTTCGGTCAGGTGAGAAAGATGGCATAGGGACGTTCGGCACCATCATCCCACTGCGGTGCCCCCTTGGGTTATGTCACACCAGTTTCGTCGTCTTTCTCTAGATATGAAGGGGAGCTACTTCAAGGTGAAACTACACTCCAATTCTGCTGGGCTTGGTCCCATGTGACCCCGCTCGCGTCGCCCTCCTTTCCCCCGGCACCGCAAATGCAAGGATGATGACCACTAGGATCTGGCTCATCCTTGTGAATCGTAGCCTGGGTCCGGGAAAACCCGGGCGGCATTTCGCTCCGTTTCGCAGGTATGCGAGGTCAATGGCCTACTCGCTACGGAATGCGTTTACATTAGTACCCCCCCCCCCCCCCCCC